CTGATAAAGTGTCTGACCTCACAGAGAAGATTCTACAAGTTGCAGCTGAGTATCCATCTCTGAAGAAGCTCATCATTCATACAGGAAGTGATGAACCGACAGTCAGAAATCCTGAAGAAGGATTTTATTCAGTTGCTGAATGCAGTTAAAAATCTCAACATGGCTTTGTTCCTCAGTGGGCCCGTTCCTGCAGCCCGAGGAGGAGTCGAGAGGTTCAGCAGACTGTTGGCTCTTAATGGGTTTTTTGGAAAAGTCCTGTGTTGACCACTCTGTGAGTTTTGTGGACAACTTTGACCTTTTCTGGGAAAGAAAACACCTATTCAAGTCTGATGGAATGACTCTGAATCAAACTGGAGCACAGCTTCTGGTTTCCAACATGAAGTATTTCCTGAACAAAGTTCCAGCTACAGGAAAACCACAACAGCTGAYGTCTGAAGGACAGCTGGAGAAAACTGAGATATCAGTGGAACACAGCGTGCCAGTTACTGATAAGRAGRCTGCTTCAGAATCAGAACCAGAGAGAGAGGAGTTGCTTCAAGCTGCAGAACCGGAAGAACAACTGGATTCATCAGCATCACAAACAGAGGATCTCTTGGACTCTGAGACCCCAACAGRRCARCAAGTGGAATGCCCCCTCCTGGATTTTACTAACAACATGGAAGAACCTGACGAGATTAATATCAAACAAATGCCATGTCCAAATCCTGCTAACTCTCCTTTTCCAGCCCCTCGCACGATCTAAAAAAAGATTCGGAGAGCCCCACCACAACCTCTGACCCTTCCACACAACAAAACAGAGAATCCTGTTTGTGTTCAAGACGATCCAAAGACTTTTGTGTGATAACTATGTTTTGGGGTTAGTATTAAACACAGTATTCTTTTTGAAAAGTTAAATAAATATGGTATTAGAGGACCTGCATTACAGTGAGTATCTAGTTATTTGGAAAATAGAAAACAATTTGTAGAAATAAATAATGTAACATCTGAGTTTTGTARCATCTCATGTGGAGTGCCTCAGGGTTCCATTCTCGGACCTAAGTTATTTATTTTGTTAGTGAACATTTTGTTAAATGCATCAGATTTTTTTGAGGTGTGTTCTATTTGCTGATGATACAACATTCTTTTGTTCCAGTAATGATATTGAACAAATGTTGGACATGATACAGACAGAATTTATGAAAATACAAAGTTGGTTTCAACTTAATAAATTAACATTAAACTTGGATAAGACAGATTATATGTTTTTCTGTAACAATAAGAGAACTATAGATGTTTCATTTAAAATTGATGATGTTGAGATCTGTAGAGTCAGTGAAGTGAAGTTTCTAGGTGTCATTATTGATGAAAAACTGACATGGAAAAATCATATAAATTGTTTAAGAACAAAAAATAGCCAAATCAATTGGAGTACTGTACAAAGTAAGAGAACTGTTCAATGATAAAGCACTGTTTATGTTGAATAACGGTATAATTGTTGCACATTTATTTACTGTATTGAAGTGTGGGGTAAAGCTTGTAAAACTATCACAAATCCCATTTTTATTTTACAAAAAAGAGCTATAAGAATTATTACTAGAAAAAATTACAGCCATCCATCGAATATATTG